GAGAGAAGAGAGAGAGAAGAGAAGATAGAGAAGAGAGAGAACAGAGAGAACAGAGAGAAACAGAGAGAGTCCAGAGCCGGTGAGCCGCGGCGCAGAGGAGGCGAGGAGGAAAAGGCGGAGGAGATGGATACGGAGGCAGATAAGGCTGACATAATGTCTGGAGAGACTGACCTGGAGGCTGACATAATGTCTATCAACAATGTTCTTCCGTTAGTTTTTTTCCTCTTCTCAAGGGCCCCGCGCCGCTAGTATTGAAATGCCTCATGCGCGCAGACAGTCTCTTCATCACTGCCACCTGGAACACTCGCACCAGAAGGCAATGCCTTCAGCAAATCCCAAATCCTGTGGTCGCAGGCGGTGCTACCGCGTTGAAAACGCAAACTATGGTCAATGCACATGTGAATCTCAGCTACAAATGTCGTCTAGGCTTTGGTCAACTGCATGATATTGGTTGACATACTCAGAACAACAGGAAGACAAAGCTGAAAACTCTTCCAAACAATGCGTTTGAGTAAAGAAGTGAAGGATAGAGGCACAAAAACATGTCACCTATGCTGAGATCCAAGTGCTAGCTGCTAATAAAATTCTACAAGTTCCAACAGCAATGCATGTCCCAAGCGTCACAACTTGGTGGGCAAAATCATGGGGCATGTCTGAGGCGAGGCGTAACAAAGCGATGCGCTTATGAATTTCCTGGAGGCTCAACTCTTGACATGTTCTGGCTTTGTAGATGTTTAGTCATCTGCTTTTGTCTAAAGTGGATGGATTGTGGTCAAAGACCTGACTCTCCTTATTTCTTAAAAGAAAATGTCAATATCTGGGTTCTGATTTCAAGGTCTGGGGCTGAAGTGTGCAAACTGAAAGCTGCCCACAAAGATTTAAAACCGATAACAAAAGAACAGAAACATGCAGTTCTGCAAACTACAAGCCAAAAAAACAGGTTGCAAACCCCCCAAAAAAAAGGAGAGCGGACCTTTGCAGATTTTCCAGATTAGGGGATGGCCACACCGTGCGACCTCATGCTGCTACACGGTATTGCGCAATTAACGCCAAAATGATTGGAAAGCGGAACCGGTTGAACAAATGCCAAGATAATGATTCTCCAGGTCAACTGAATCAAATGACGCAACAGGTCAAAATTGGGATTCATACAAAAAACAACGAAATATGGTAACGGAGCAAACATGGCTCAGATCTGCGTTGTTTGAAGGCTTGTCTTTTGACCTGCCCACTTCACGCCGTTTCATATCAGCAAACTGCTGTTGACACTCATGTTTCAGTTTGTGCTTTACAACTTCAAACGGCTGACCTAGGAAATCTCAACTAGAAATCAAACCAGCAAACGAGGTGCTAAACAATATGACATTTGCATACATTTGCACGTGCGAACTATTCTCCATGGCTGAATATGAAACTGCTTGAAACGGTCGTGCGCCGTTAGCGCAAGCTCCGTTCTCAGTCTCAAGACGAGGCTGTCGAACATGACCGTCACAGCAACACTGCACAAAACATGCATGCTGACTGTTACATGATACAAGTACACCCTGCAAAAACAAAAAACACGTATATGATCGTATATTAAAACACTTGAGCTCACGCCTCTAAAATCCGGGCGGTTTCGCGCAAGCCATGAGCTTCGGCAAAACGCCAGGGAGGGCCGAGCAGATCACACTGACCAAATTGGACAAACTCATGCGCTCAAACACAGGTCGAAAACAGTGTCGCTACTGTGTTGCAAACGCAAACGGCTGGCGGTCAGTGCACATGTGAATCTCAGCTACAAATGTCGTCTAGGCTTTGGTCAACTGCATGATATTGGTTGACATACTCAGAACAACAGGAAGACAAAGCTGAAAACTCTTCCAAACAATGCGTTTGAGTAAAGAAGTGAAGGATAGAGGCACAAAAACATTTCACCTATGCTGAGATCCAAGTGCTAGCTGCTAATAAAATTCTAAAAGTTCCAACAGCAATGCATGTCCCAAGCGTCACAACTTGGTGGGCAAAATCATGGGGCATGTCTGAGGCGAGGCGTAACAAAGCGATGCGCTTATGAATTTCCTGGAGGCTCACCTCTTGACATGTTCTGGCTTTGTAGATGTTTAGTCATCTGCTTTTGTCTAAAGCGGATGGATTGTGGTCAAAGACCTGACTCTCCTTATTCTTAAAAGAAAATGTCAATATCTGGGTTCTGATTTCAAGGTCTGGGGCTGAAGTGTGCAAACTGAAAGCTGCCCACAAAGATTTAAAACCGATAACAAAAGAACAGAAACATGCAGTTCTGCAAACTACAAGCCAAAAAAACAGGTTGCGCACCCCCAAAAAAAGGAGAGCGGACCTTTGCAGATTTTCCAGATTAGGGGATGGCCACACCGTGCGACCTCATGCTGCTACACGGTATTGCGCAATTAACGCCAAAATGATTGGAAAGCGGAACCGGTTGAACAAATGCCAAGATAATGATTCTCCAGGTCAACTGAATCAAATGACGCAACAGGTCAAAATTGGGATTCATACAAAAAACAACGAAATATGGTAACGGAGCAAACATGGCTCAGATCTGCGTTGTTTGAAGGCTTGTCTTTTGACCTGCCCACTTCACGCCGTTTCATATCAGCAAACTGCTGTTGACGCTCATGTTTCAGTTTGTGCTTTACAACTTCAAACGGCTGACCTAGGAAATCTCAACTAGAAATCAAACCAGCAAACGAGGTGCTAAACAATATGACATTTGCACGTGCGAACTATTCTCCACGGCTGAATATGAACCTGCTTGAAACGGTCGTGCGCCGTTAGCGCAAGCTCCGTTCTCAGTCTCAAGACGAGGCTGTCGAACATGACCGTCACAGCAACACTGCACAAAACATGCATGCTGACTGTTACATGATACAAGTACACCCTGCAAAAACAATAAACACGTATATGATCGTATATTAAAACACTTGAGCTCACGCCTCTAAAATCCGGGCGGTTTCGCGCAAGCCATGAGCTTCGGAAAACGCCAGGGAGGGCCGAGCAGATCACACTGACCAAATTGGACAAACTCATGCGCTCAAACACAGGTCGAAAACAGTGTCGCTACTGTGTTGCAAACGCAAACCGCTGGCGGTCAGTGCACATGTGAATCTCAGCTACAAATGTCGTCTAGGCTTTGGTCAACTGCATGATATTGGTTGACATACTCAGAACAACAGGAAGACAAAGCTGAAAACTCTTCCAAACAATGCGTTTGAGTAAAGAAGTGAAGGATAGAGGCCAAAAAACATGTCACCTATGCTGAGATCCAAGTGCTAGCTGCTAATAAAATTCTAAAGGTTCCAACAGCAATGCATGTCCCAAGCGTCACAACTTGGTGGGCAAAATCATGGGGCATGTCTGAGGCGAGGCGTAACAAAGCGACGCGCTTATGAATTTCCTGGAGGCTCACCTCTTGACATGTTCTGGCTTTGTAGATGTTTAGTCATCTGCTTTTGTCTAAAGTGGATGGATTGTGGTCAAAGACCTGACTCTCCTTATTCTTAAAAGAAAACGTCAATCTGAGGCTGAAGTGTGCAAACTAAAAGCTGCCCACAAGGATCTAAAGTAGTTGCAAAAAAGAACAAGAAGTTGCGAATATACATCCCCAAGAAAAGGAGAGCAGACCTTTGCAGATTACTCCAGATTAGGGGATAGCCACACCGCCGTGCGACGTCATGCTGCGACACAGTATGACACAACGCCAAAATCATTGGAAAGCGGAACTTGTTTGAAAAATGCCAAGATAATGATTCTCCAGGTCGACTGACTCAAATGACGCAACAGGTCAAAATTAGGATGCATCATAGTAAATAAAACCTTGTAACGGAGAAAGCATGGCTCAGATCTGCATTGTTTGAAGGCTTGTCTTTTGACCCTGCCCGTTTCACATCGATTATCAGCAAACCTACTGCTCACAGTTCACACTCCTGCTTCAGCTTTCGCCGTAAACCTTCAACCAGCTGACCTAGGAGTTCTCAAACAGAAGTCCAACCAGAGACCGAGGTGCCAAACAATATGACATTTGCACGTGCGAACTATTCTCCATGGCTGAATATGAAACTGCTTGAAACGGTCGTGCGCCGTTCGCGCAAGCTCTGTGTGTTAAGACGAGGCTGTCGAACATGACCGTAACAGCAATAATGCACTAACATGCTGATAGTTTCATGATACAAGTACACCCTGCAAAAAAAAAGACGTATGCCTTACAACACTTGAGCTCACGCCTCTAAAATACGGGCGGTTTCGCGCAAGTCCTTCAGCTCATTGGCCATGAGCTTCGGAAAAACGCCAGGGAGGGTCAAGCAGATCACTCTGACCAAATTGGACAAACTCATGCGCTCCAACACAAATCGAATCCTCCAGGGAGTCCGTTGGACTCTGTTACCCACAGGTGCTTGGACCGCTCGGACGATTATTTCACTCTTCAGGAGCTGAAGCACTTGATGAACCCCGGGAAGTTCGCTCGCCTTGGACACAACCAAAGGGCCCCAGTGCACTTTTGGGAACCTAAAAATAATTATCCTTGAGCTGGCCAAGCACCAAAAAAAAAGAAAAAAACAAAAATCCTAATGATCTTGTAAAACCACATAATTCTGTTTTAGCTTTAGTCCTTTTCTACTTGGAGGGTCTAGGAGCTACAGTAGGATCACCGTAAGTCCCCAGCCTCCACCTTCTCGCGCACATATGGTAGAATCAACTCCATGAAGGTCACCGCGGGAAGGCGTTTCAAGAACTCTCTCTGCTGCTTGTCAAAGGACGGAGGGCGCAATTCCTGAATTGGGGCAGCCACCGAACTTGTAGGATTAGAAGGTTAGCTCGCCTATAATTGGGGTTTTAGTTGCGCGTTATTAAAGACCGTTTAGTTAGCAAACTTCCGAGTTACGGACAATGGTCATGGTCAGCATTCACACCATCAGTTCAACCGTGCATCATCATGTCAACCCCACCATCAAGTAGTTATAGGAAAAAGAGTCCGGGAGCGTGCGAATTCATTGGTGAAAGCACTCTGGGGCACGAAACCCTGTGTTTTTACGGGCATGGTGGCGGGTCTGTGTTTCTGCAGTTTTGCGCTTCGATTGGGGAAAGCTGCCGACAGCGCGAGCGCAATTCGCACTTCAAAATGCAAAAAATGACGGTCTCGAAGCACTTTTGGAAGATGAGGTCGGAAAAATGCATTGATTCATTGACTCTTTAAATCGCTGAACCTTTGGTTCATTGGTTCATTGAATCGTTGATCCACTGATTCTTTGATTCATTGAACCGTTGAATCATTGATTCAGTGATTCACCGTGCTACTGATTGATTGATTTGTTGACGTGCTCATTGATTCATTGATTCACTGATTCGTTTTGATTCATTGACTCACTTCATTGATTCATTGAATGGTTGAGCCATTAATATTGGTTCGCTGGTTCATTAATTCATTATTTCATTGTTTCGCAGATTCATTGTGGTTCATTGACTCACTGAATCGTTGGTTCATTGATTTGGAAATCAATGAATAGTCTACTCGCTGATCCGTTAATTCATTGATTTATTGAAATCATTGCTTCAGTGACTCAGTGATTTGTTGACTGATTGATTCAATGATCCATTCATCGGTTCAAAGATTCCTTGATTCATAGAAATCTTTGATTAATTCATTGTTTCATTCATTCACTGAGTCACTGATGCATTGAATCATTCATTATTGGTTCGTTAAACCACTGATTCATTGTTTCATTGACTCAGTGATTCAGTGATTCGTTGATTCGTTGATTCACTGATTTGTTGATTTATTGGTTTATTCAGGGAGCTGTGCGTGGATTCTGTCAAGTCATTTCATTATATTTCATTGGCGCCACAACTACCACTTGCTCAGTCGTTGATGCACCTCGCAACTTCATAACTTCATTGCTTGTGCATCTCAAAGTTTTTCCTAAAAGCCCAGAGTATGGGGGATCAGGCCCGCTAAGGTTTGCGAAGCCTCAAAGCTGCAAAGCCTCTTTGGCGCTTCACGCCTCAAAGCTTCAAAGCCTCAAAGCTGCAAAGCCTCTTTGGCGCCTCACGCCTCAAAGCCTCAAAGCTCCAAAGCCTCTCTGGCGCCTCACGCCTCAAAGCCTCAAAGCCTCAAAGCTGCAAAGCCTCTTTGGCGCCTCACGCTTCAAAGCCTCAAAGCCTCAAAGCCTGAACGCTTGGATGCTTTGGCGCTTTGGCGCTTTGGCGCTTGGCGGCTCTTTCAGGCTTTGGCGCTTCTTGGCGCTTTTCCGACGCTTCAAAGCCTCAAAGCCTCAAAGCCTGAACGCTTGGATGCTGCGGCGCTTCGGCGCTTTGGCGCTGGCGGCTCTTGCACGCTTTGGCGCTTCTTGACGCTTTTCCGACGCCTCAAAGCCTCAAAGCCTCAAAGCCTGAACGCTTGGATGCTTTGGCGCTTTGGCGCGTGTCCTACGCCTCAAAGCCTCAAAGCCTCAAAGCCTGAACGCTTGGATGCTTTGGCGCTTTGGCGCTTTGGCGCTTGGCGCTTTGGCGCTTTGGCGCTTTGGCGCTTTGGCGCTTTGGCGCTTTGGCGCTTTAGCGCTTTGGCGCTTGGCGCTCTTGATGCTTTGGTGCCTCTTGGCCCTTTGGCGCTTTGCGGCTCTTTGACGCTTTGGCGCTTTGGCGCTTTGGCGCTTGGCGCTCTTGATGCTTTGGTGCCTCTTGGCCCTTTTGCGCTTTGCGGCTCTTTGACGCTTTGGCGCTTCTTGGCGCTTTGAGACTTCGCGGCTCTGTGACGCTTTGGCACTTTGCGGCTCTTTGAGACATGCCATCTTGGAAAAAAAGTGATTTTGTAGATTTTACTTTTTTCAAGCACCGATTGAAATATAGGTATAAAAACTGTTTCGGAGAAAAAAACAAAGGGCCAGATTGTTTGTATTTGAGGGCCAGCGCTCACCTGCAGCCAGCGAACTTACGACTACCTGTTTAGTAATTTTTGTGGGTTGTTTAATGATGGTTTACCTTAGTAGGTGATTAACAAGCGTGGTTTGTAAGTCGCCGTTTCGCGGGTCATAACATCTTTGAGTGTGTTATAACTTATAACTTTGGTTATTGAGCATGTCATCATTGATGAAAAGGGTATATTCTAACTGGTGGGGGGTTTGAATTCCATCGTCATACCTATATCAAATCTTATAAACCAGGCCCTGCGGAGTTTTGAAGCCGACCATCAATAGATTGGTTGAAGGAAAAATCTCCATCTTGACCAGAGTCTTAATCTTGTTTTTGCTGTTGCGGTTTTTGTTTTTGTAAGGCAAGGACGAGAACTTGCAGCGTATCATCCAACATGTCTGAAGGTTGGGGACAAGACCTGACAGCGTAGCACCCAAGATGATTGAAAGTTAAGGACAGGTCTTAAGGACAAGATCTTACACCGTACAATCCATAATGATTGAAAGTTAAGGACAAGGACAAGGCCTTTCAGCATAGCATCAAACATGTTTGAAAGTTAAGGACAGAATCTTGCACCGTAACATCCAAGATGCTGGAAAGTTAAGGAGAGGATCTTGCAAAGTAGCATCAAGCATGTTTAGAACTTAAGGACAAGACCTGACACCGTAGCATCAAAGATGTTTGAAGATTAAGGGCAAGGTCTTACAGCGTGGCATCCCAGATTCAAGATGTTTGTAATTCAAGAACAAGGTCTTAGGGCATAGCTTCCAAGATGTTCAAAGTTAAGGACAAGCTCTTCGAGCGTAGCGTCCAAGATGATTGAATGTCAAGGGCACGATCTTACACCGTAGCACCCAAGATGATTGAAAGTTAAGGACAAAGTCTTACTCCATAGCAACCAAAATCATACAAGATGCTTGAGAGTTCAGGACAAGATCTTCTTGGGCAGCATCCAGATCTTCCAAGAACTTGTTATTATTTCTCTTGTTCTCGTTTTCGTTCGTGTTCTTGTTGTTAATGTTGTTATCGCTGTTCTTGCTCTTGTTGTTTAACTATTGTGTTTTGTTATTGTTATTTTTGTTCTTGTTGTTGCTGCTGCTGTTGTTGTTGCTGATGTTGTGGTTCTTGTTTCTAATCTTGTGGTTATGGTTCTTTCTCTTGTTCTGGTTCTTGTTCTTGTTCGTCAAGGACAAGAACTTACAGCGTATCATCCAACATGTTTGAGGGTTAGGGACAAGACAGACAGAATCTTGGAGCGTAGCATCCGACATGTTTGAAGGTTAAGGACAAGATCTTACTTTGTAGCAACAAGGATTTGCAAGTTAAGAACAAAATGTTTACACGGTAGCATCCCAGATGATTGCAAGATCAGGCTGCGATCTGACAGCGTAGCATCAAAGTTGTTCGAAAATCAAGGGCAAGATCTTGCAGCATAGCATCAAGGATGATCGAAAGTTAAGGACTTCTTGTTGTTGGTGTTGTGGTTCTTGTTCTTAGATTTGTTCTTGTGGTTGTGTTCTTCTTCTTGTTCTTGATCTTGCTCTGTTTCTTGTTTTTGTTCTTGTTGTAGTTTTTGTTCTTGTTCTTCATCTTGTTCTCGATCTTGTTCTCATTGTTCTCCTTGTTCTATTCGTTCTTGTTCTTTGTCTTGTTCTTTTTCTTCCTCTTCTCCTTCTTCTGTTTCTTCTTCTTCTTCTTCTTCTTATT